GTAAGGACAGCTTTGCACAAAGCAACACAGGGAAGTAGCAATTAGCCAGTTTGGCTTTAATCTTGGGTGCAGGGAGAGGGAGTGGGGAAGTATGGTGAGCTTTGAAGCTAGAAAGGTAGGCTTAACTCATCCAGCAGGTATCTACTGAGCACCTTCCATGGGCCAGTGTGGGCCAGGTGCTGGGAATTCAGCAGAAAACTAGACTGACCAGTTCCGGCCTGTATGGGGCTAGGACCTTACTGTAGACAAGCATTCAACAAATCATCATGCACATAGTGAATGGAGATTACGAGCACTGCAGTGTGAACATATGAAAAGTCAGAGAGCTGCAAAGACAACTTAGGCCACCAGGAGAACCACTGTCAGAATGCCACAGGCTGCAGGGGCAGGGAGAGCATCCCCGAGAAAGGGGCTTTTCCACTGAGATTTGAAGGGTGAGTAAGAATTAGCTTAGGAATGGGAAAGGTGGGAAATGGACTGCATTTTAGGCCAAGGTAGAAGCCTGCTCTGCAAGAGGAAGGCAGGGAACAGTATCACAAACCTGGACCATATAGGTGAAGGGAGGCTCAAGAGGGGCTGTCCCCAGTAGTCCAATGGCATAGAACAAGAACCCCCTATTTCTAGCTGCCTAAGAACCTTGTGTGGCCATTTCTTTGTCCCTCTTTCCATCCTGCTGTCTGGATGTGATGGCTGCAGGGAGAGCTAAGCACCATTCTTGAATGAGAGGATGAGGCCCACATCAGGGAGGACAGAAGGACACCAACCATTGGATTTAGGGCCCACCCTGATTGGGGATGATCTCTTCTTATTACATCTGCAATGACCCTGTTTCCAAATTAGGTCACATTCTGAGGTTTGGGATGAACATGAAGTTTGGGGAACACTGCACAGATGGTGACACATATTTCTCCACCATAAGAAAGATACTTTGGGACTGTGAGTGTCTTTAACTGAATGGTTTTGGCATCCTTGGTTGTTTTTCCTGAATCAGTTGCCATTATAATCGCAAAATAGTGATTTTAAACTCATTTTTTTTCAGATTTACTAATTAGCGTTCTGTTGTAAAGGAGAATTTTTTCTTTTCCCTCCTTTTATTTATTTATTTAACTGATGAAAAATTTTGAATTGATATATTTTCCATTTCAGAAGTTCTACGTGATTATTTTTCACAAGTGTTTGAACATTTTAATGTCTTATTTCCTTCTCATATATTTTTTAAAAATTTATTTTTTATTTATTTTTTTAATTGAAGAAATGATTTAATATTTTCCCCCGGTCTATCTCCTCCCTCCCACCTCCCCTCTGGTAACCACTAGTCTAGAGTCCATGTCCGTGAGTCTCTGTTTGTTTGTCCTGTTCATTTGTTGCTTTTAGGTTTATATCCCACATATAAGTGATATCATGGGATTTTCAACTTTTTCTGTCTGGCTTACTTTGCTTAGCATGATTATCTCGGGGTCCATCCATGTTGTTGTAAATGGCAGTATTTAATCTCTTCTTACGGCTGAATAATATTCCATTGTATAGAAATACCACAGTTTCTTTAGCCAATCATCTATTGTAGGACACTTCGGTTGCTTCCATGTCCTGGTCACTGTGAGTAACGCTGCTGTGAACATCGGTGTGCAAATATCTTTTTGGATATGGGTTTTCAAGTCTTTGGGGTAAATACTCAGTAGAGGGATTGCTGGTTCATGTGGTAGATCAATTCTTAGTATTTTGAGGAACCTCCATACTGTGTCCCATAATGGCTGTACCGATTCGCAGTCCCACCAGCAGTGTATGAGGGTTCCTTTTTCTCCACATCCTCTCCAGCATTTGTTATTACTTGTTCTGTTGATTAGAGCTATTCTAACAGGTGTGAGATGGTATCTCATTGTGGTTTTGATTTGCATTTCCCTAATAGCTAGCGATGTTGAGCATCTTTTCATATATTTGTTGGCCATTTGTATTTCCTCTAGGGAGAAGTATCTGTTTAGGTCTTCTGCCCATTTTTGGATTGGATCGTTTTTTTTGTTGTGGTTGTTATTGAGTCGTATATATTCTATACATATTTTGGATATTAGGTCCTTATCAGAGGCATTGTTCCTTCTCATATTTTTATCTCATGTTTCTTCAAATGTGTTGAACCTTTATTTTGTGTTCTGTGTCTGAGCATTGAGGTCCGATTCTATTCTTTTCCCTGCAGGTTCACGGTTGTCCTGTTTCTTTGTGAATTTGGGGATTTTTTCTTTGACCTTGAATGGCCCTTTTTCTTCAGAACATTAGGGGCTGGAATTCTCTGGGGCCCAGAATGAAAGTGGGTTTCTCCAGGGAGGATCTGCGCTTATCTCAAGGTGGGTGCTTCCCCTCCAGGCGGACCTGACACCAGACTGTTGGGGTTTCCAGACCACTGGGTCAAACTGTAGCCACTGGTTCTTGGGAGATGTTTTTCTTCCTCTACCCACTGCCAATATCCAGTCAGGGGATTTGTTTCTTTTCCTCTGTGTGGAGAGTCGAAGGCTGTCTACTGGGCTGGTGCAGGGTCTGCATCTGGAGTGGTAAGGTTCCAACGGTGACAATCTGATTTATGCTTATCTTTCACAATGTGTTTTATTTTTTTGGCTTCTGTTGATTTTTTCCCTTCGTGCCAGCCTAGTGATGCATTTACAAGATTTATCCACTTTCAGTTTTTATCAGGAGGGTTTTTCTGTGTATCCGATCCATAGCCCTTCTAATACCAAAATTCCACAAATCTCCATTTTGTTTAAGCTATTGTGATTAATTTAAGGTTGTGTAAGGTTGTATACAGCGCTGCAAACTATAATGTTACTTGTGGGTCTCTTCTAATCACAGACAGATCTAACTCTGATTGGCACAACACTTCAAGTCTTTTGGATTTTATTCTAAAGGTTTTAAACAGAAGAAGAATATGACCAGCTTAGTGTTTTCCAAATCAAGCTCTTTGCTGTGTGGAGGGTGAGGGTGATAAGGATGGTGAGGTGCAGTGGGCCAGTTGGACACTTGGCTGTGCTGGACGGTGCTTCCCAAGGGGGATGGATGAAAGCCCCAGGGTCACTGAAGTATCCCAGCACCACATTTAAAGCATCGAAAGAGTTTAAAATAATTTTAATAATATGCTTATCTAACCCAATAGATCCAAAATATTGCTTCAACATACAATCTCTGTAAAAAACTATTGATTCGAGTTTACATTCTTATTTCGTGTAACCTTCACAATGTGTTTTAAGCTCGCAGCAATCTCACCTTGGACCTACCCTGTTTCAGTGGCTAATGTGCTAGGCTGGGGTTGCTGGGAGGCGGCTAAGGGGTGGGGGTGGTGGTTGACTCCATATCTAGCTGACGCCACAGAGGAAATGCAGCTGCATTTACAAGGCTGGGAGAGCAGAGGAGGCACACACACGACCCCAGTTTGAGACAGAATGGGAAGGAATGTAAAGGAGGACCATGGCAGATAGGTACACGACAAGACTTCTAAGGCTTGAGACCAAGAGTGCCTCCACTCATAATATTTAATGTCTTGATAAATATGAAATGAAGACACTGTAAAATGGTGACAGGGCTCATAATTCCCTCAAAACCGGAAAGTCAAACCAGTTAACTTGCTGAAGTGGCCGGTGGAGCCTTTTTTCCTGGAGAGCAATGAGTGGGCTCTTACTTCCTGAATTGACTGTTACAGGGAAGTAAAGACACACACTTTTCCCAGTCTTCCAGCTGCCACATGTTAGAGCATAGTCGGGGAGCCTCCTCTCTAGGTCTGTCTTAAGAAAAAATGCCGTCACCATGGGGTCTGGGGACCCCTGGGCCACAGGGCAGCAGGCCCTTTTGATTCCCTGCATTATAGCTGGTGGCGGAGAGCTGTGGAGATGATGGGGTACAATTTCTATCTCCCCCAGAGAAGTGGCTGCAGGGACGCGCCCTGCACTCCATCTGGGCCCCGCTGACTGAGCCACCCACTCAGCTTCTCACACTCCTAATTCCTTCCGGCATCGTTTTGGGGAGGCCCCGCCGTTATTTCCAACATATTTGTCGTGAATGATAAAGAGACCAGGAGGGCTCTTTAGGGGGCTGATTTAAGATCATACTGGTCACTCAGGGGCTTATCTGCCTAGGAAACACCCTTTGTATCAGACCCACGCTGTTGGGAGGGATGTGGTTAGACAGCAGCTGCCTACCTGAGGGCTCAGTGCAGCGCAGGACCAGGAGCACCAGGAGCAGCTGGATGCAGCCTGCCATTCCGACCGGGCCGCTGAGGGACAGGTCTGCAAACACGGGGGCCAAAGTCCACCCTGGGCCACGCTCACAGCACAGGAGGAGCTGCTTAAAATGACCACCAGTCCTAAAACCTGTAGCCAAGTAGGAGACAGAAGACGAAAATGAGAAAAGTGCTCCCCCTTAGGAGGACATTTCAAGTGGAATTTTATTGAATAAATTCAACGTTCTAAAAATATGCTTCAGTTCTGTATTTTTCCGTTTAAGACAGAAAAAAAAGAGGGAAGAAAAGACAGAAAAATGTAAAGCTGAGGCAAAGAGGGCCTTGGTGTGGTATTTAGGGAGACATAGCTGGGCAGACTTCTGGAGTGAAGTCAGGAGGTCCTGTCCAAGGAAATAGAGTGATAGACGGAGAGAGCCTCTTCCCGCATGCACGCAGCCCCAAGTAACAAGGCTCAGGTGGGCTTCCCCACCTGGCCAGGTATTCTGGGCCTGGGGATACAACAGTGAGCAAGACAGTTGCCTGGAACTTACATTCTAGGTGTGTGGGGGACACACAGGAGGAGTGTAGGGAGGCAGGGAGGGAGAGCCTGGGGAGAGAGGAGAAAGGAACAAGTAGGGAGGGAGGAGGGAGAAATGTTCAATTTTGCTGTCAAGAAAAGGAGAGTAGATACGGTGGCCCAGGCTAAAGAGGCTCCCTTTCGGAGAGAAACGTGAACACAGAGAACGCCTAAGCCCTGAGGGAGGGCACAGTTGCCAGAAGCATCGCAAGGAGGCTAGTGTGACAGGAGGGCATCCACAGGAGGGCAGCAGAGGACTGAGATTGGAGAGGGAAACTGAACTTAGATGGGGTGGGCCAGGGGTCAGCAAATTTTTCTGTAAAGGGCTAGAGAGCAGAACACAGCACCAGGGGCCTCACCTACCTCTCGGTAAGACCTGCACAGCCAGGTGTTTGCAGCACCAAGCGCCATGTGGAGGAGTGAACTTAGGGGATTTTTTGTAAGAACCAAGTGTGTCTTTGAACTGAGAATCACCGTGAGATGATAAATACTCAGAACCCTGTCTGAAAGGACAGCACACTCATACCCCGTCCTCGACTGATTCCTGGTCACCCTTTCCTTGGGTGGATCAGCACAGCAGATAGACCCCAGTGGACATTCTCCCTCTGCCTCTGTCCCTGTCTCTCTGTTTGTCTGTCTGTCCCTGTCTCTCTGTCCTTCTCTGCCTGTCTGTCTCTCCTGTCCTTCTTTCCCCTACACCTCCATATATCAGGGGATTCTCTTTCGTTAAGGGGCATCAGGTGAGAACTGCCGCCATTCTTCTCTCTCACTGCATTCTGTTAGTTTCTTTCAAAGTCTCATTTCATGTGTACCCGGATGTTTTGTAGCTTTTGACACTGACATTTTTGGAGCGCCCAGGACTTCCTCAGCTAGATTTGCCCTATTGACCTCTCACAGACTCACACGTCAGCGATATGTGCCCTTCCCAGTGCACTGTGTCAGGGTACAGCATGTCTGTGGCCCTCTTGTTGGTGATAACGGGCCACTCGGATAGCGTCATGACCCGCAGACCTCACTGTTATAAAGCTACCTTGTTACGGATTGGCAGTAAGAAAATAGTCACAGGGCTGTAAGTACAGCATAGGGAATATAGTCAATAATATTGTAATAGCTGTGTATAGTGCCAGGTGGGTACTAGAGTGATCGGGGGGATCACTTCATAAATTATATAAATATCTAAGTTGTATGCTAGATCCCTGAAACTGATATAAGACAATTTTAAAAAGCTGCCCTGTCCTTTTTGTAATTAAAAAGTCATTTCTGGGGCCATGCTCTGAGACTGCGAATATCTTGTTTCTCAGTGACTTTTCCACCAGGGTTTTGGTGTTCATTGATGACTTGCCTCGACTGATGACTTTCGTGATGGCTGTAGCAGCTGGGGTCTTGCTAATACTAAAATTTAAACTCTCCAGTTCCCGTTTAGTTGGCTCCATCCCAGTGGGGATGGAGAGCAGCCACTCCCAACTGCAATGGTCCCATTGCTCATCCAGCTTTAAGGCCCCCGGCTTTGTGCCCTGCACTTGCAGGCAGGGCCTCAGGACCGGCCCGGCCTGGCCCTCCAGTGAGCCAGCACCCCAGAGGCCCTGCATGTAGAAGGTCGCCTGTGTTCTTGAGAACCCACGGCCACCGCTGGTGTTGAATCAGCAGCCCTAGGCCTGGCCTCCACGTAGCTGGCTTGTGCTCTCTGTTGCTTCCTAACTCACACTCGGCTGGGCCTCCCGACCCCTTCGAACTTCATAACACCACGCAGAATCTGCTCCATGTTATGGGGTGACTATGTTCCCAGGCTATCACCTTTGTTCTTCTCCCCCCAGAAACAGCATGCGTGTGGGGGTGGCAGTGGCTGAGGAGGTGGTTTTATTGTAGTATTTTAACTTCTCCCTCACTCTCGGGGAAGGCATCAAACCCTTACTTTCTCACACAATTTTGTTCCTTACCCTTGGCTTCCTGCTTATCTCTATGCCCTCAGGGACTCGCCTTCCACACCCAGCAGCCCCTTAGATGACTTCCCTGACAGAAACTCTGAGGGTAGCAAGTAAGGGAATGCCCCCCCCCATGCGAAAGCCTTAGAACACATTTAGGGTTCCCGTGTGGATGAGGTGGCTTCATTAGCTCTGTTTTCCCATGAAGCAGTGATACTCAGAGAGGGTGGTAAGTCGTTCCAGGGTACACAGGAATGAGCAGAGCCGACCCCAACTGTGAGTCCCCAACAAGGGCCCCCCACAGCGTCCACCTGCACCGCTTCACTCTATTTCCTCTAGAACCTTGCTGAATTGAATTCTGTTTCTGGCTAGGGAAGAGGCGACGAAAGCCCTTCTTCCCCTTCCCCCTGTGGTGCCTCTGTTTCCCTTCCTCTCCATCACACATGAACTCTATCGCCAATAAGAGTGGCCGACAGTGAGAGATCAAGTAGTGACAGCGAAGGTAGGTTTTATTTGTGAAACTTCTCCCAGGTTCTCTCTGGATCTCAAACAACCTTTGATCTCCAGAAACAAGAACTCGTGTCTGGGGTTTGCCTCTGGACAGAGACCTCTGAGCTATAGAGAAAACCCTCAACCCGATGCCATGGCCGTCTCCTGCTGTCTGAGGCTTTTTCTCTACTTGACAGTGGCTCGCTCTGAGGAAGGGTCATGGCAGCAAGAGGAGAAGCGTCCCCCTCAGTGCTTCCTGCCCTCCTCGGGCCGTTTCTGGGAAGCAGTATACTCGTTCACATTGATTTTTCTAACCTTGCAATAGCTCTTATTTACAAAACACTCTAACCTTGCGATATCTCCTGTTTACAAAAAAAAAAAAAGCTACTGACATTTTGGGGAGTTTTTGTAGTGAGACTTTGAAACTTTGCTTAGCAGAGTTACGCAAAACGCAAACTGTATAGGGACATTTGGAAAACAAACTGGTAGGTCTGGTTGAAGTGACCTTTTTTGTTTTGTAAAAGCACATTTGGTTTCCATGACCATTTAAATCAAGGGCCTAGAGCAGTGCAGACAGTGACGGCGAAAGATTTGGCATTTAGACGTGACCTAGTTGAGAAGAGGGGAGACCTCCTGCAGCCCTTGCCAATACACACCACACACTCGGGGGTCACCGAGGTGCTGTAGAAACTTCTGGGGCCGTGCCCACCCACAACCTCTGGTTTAAGTGCTCTGGCTGTGGCCTGGACGAAGGACACGTAAACTGCTCAAGAGACCGTGCCAGGGTGGGCCTGGGCTTGGACACATTTTAAAAGTGCCCCAAGTGATTTTAGCAGGGAGCCAGAAAGAACAAGTGGTCAAGTCAATGTTAAAACGTCCCTGCCAATGAGAAGCCGTCTGGGCCTCTCCTTCTCAGGGAACCCGCTGCTCACAGAGGGCTCCTGGAGGACATAGTGGAACTATGTCCACCGCTGTCTCAGCCCTAGAAGGTGAATGAAGGTGCTGGGGAGGCTACGCTGGCACAGTGGGGAATCCCTCACTGATCCTGGGATTCCCTAGGTGAGGCCGCCCAATCGTGGGCTGGCCTGACCACTGCTGCACCTCCTCTCTCTGCTCCCAGAACCTTGGTCATTTATCTCAAGTGTTCTGAGCATGGCTGGCAAAGACAGCAGTTTAGGTCAACGAGAAACAGAAAAACACACTACAAATGGAAACGGCCGCCTCATAGTTTTGAGCAAAGGAGTCGTTCTAGAGTTTTGACCCCTGTCCTGTAAATTATAACATTTCCTGAAGAAATTTCCCAGCCTGATGAGGGAAAGGCAAGATCTAGTGTTCCAAATGAAAATTTCATTTCCCACTTCAGTAGAGCAAGAACAAAATCAGGATAAAGAACCGATACAGATCTAATCTGTGCAGATAGGAAACCTATTCCAGGGTGCAGCCTGTTCAGAATGGCAAGTATTAAGATAATCACTTTAATGGGGAGTAGGTGTAGGGGTCTCCTGCTGGCTCAGGGCCCTGGCCTTGGCTTTCATGGACCTATCGATCCACTTGAGGAAGTTGGTGACTTTGGTGTAAACTCCATACTTTCCTTTCTGTGCACATCCTTCTCCCCAGCTGACGATGCCAGTGACAAAATAGGTGTCCTTGAACCGGGTGACATGGGGGCCCCCACTGTCCCCCTGACAGGCGTCCTCTGGCTTGGCGTCGTAGCCGGCGCAGAACATGTTCGTGGTGATGGCGAATTTGCTGGACAGCTTGCACGTGTTCCTGTCCACATAGGGCACCTCCAGCATCTTGAGGGTGGTAGATGTGCGGCCTTTCTCGTGGGTGCGCCCGAAGCCGCTCACGATGCCCGATTTCTGCGTCATGAGCGTCGACTCGGCCCAGTCCTTCTCTGGCAGGCAGGCGGGAGCCACGTTCATGCGAAACGTGATGGGCATCTTCAGCTTGAGGACGGCGATGTCAAAGTCATAGGTCTCTTTGACGAACTTGTTGTGCTTTATGATCATCTCCACCTCATGTGCCATCTCGTTGCCTTCTTCCTTTTCCGTGTTCCGTTCACCTGGAATATGGTGAGAACACAATGCTGCTAGCTTAGTCTGGGCCATGCATTTACATGTGGCTTCTTTTTTAAAGTAGTTATTTTATTTCTGATTAAAAAAGGGTATACGATCACTAGAAAAATTGAAAAATATAGGAAAGCATAAAGAGGTGAATAAAAATGAGTTTCAATTTCACTCTCCAGGGGTAATCATTAGTCACATTTTTTTTTATATATATATGTTCAGTACTTCAGTGACTTTCAATTCATTCATTCAAGGACAGATATTTCCTGAGTATGTATCGTGCGCTGGGGATACCAGGGAGTCTTATGTTCTAGACCCTCACTGTCCAGAGGGCTGCCACCAGCCACAGGGGCAACTGGGCACTTGAAACATGCAGCTGGTTTGAACTGAGATGTGCTGTGAGTGTCAAATTTCAGGCTTAGAATGAAAAAAAAAAAAATTCAAAATAGTTCATAAATAATTTTCAAATTGATTACACGTTGAAATGATAATATTTGGGGGTATACTGGGTTAAATAAGATATATTACTAAAATTAATTTCCCCTGTAAACTTTTAAGATGTATAATAGAATGTTTAACATAACTAGAAAATTAAAATTCCATGTGTGGCTCACATTTGTGGCTTGCATTGGATTTTCATTGGACAGCTCTAGAGTCTGATGGAAAAGGACGGACATTACGAAATAATCCCACAGACAAAAATATGAGAGTTGGAGGGACTCAGTGCTCAGATCGTTGAAGGAGGGGCTCTGGACGCCTTCTCAGAGGAAAGGTCACTGAGAGGAGGCACATAGTGCTGGGCGTGGACACCCAGAGCCTCAGGAAGGACCGTGAGAAAGGAGGTCTGGGCTGCTCCAGGGAAGGCCACCCTGTCCTCCTCTTCCTCCTTCTCCTTCCCTCCTGAAGCTCCTCATTCTCCTCCCCCACTACTCCTCGTCTTCATCTTCACTCTCCTCCTTCTTGTCCCCTATCCCCTCCTCCTTTTCTTCTTCCGCCCTTCATCTTCCTCCTCTGTGAAACACCCCCAGCCCACACCTTGGATTCCAGTATTTTATCTAGTGTTTCCAACAAATTTGATCAATTCTAGTGGTCTCTGAAAATCAGGATGTGATGGTGGGCCCTGCAAGGCAGCTGAAGGGTGTAGCACCACTTACCTACCCTCACCTTGAATCTCTTGGCTTGGTGGAGACAGTGAGCTGCGGTGAGTACATAGAATTCATTCAGGATGGTGCCTCCACAGAAGCCCTCGTTCTCCTCATTAATGAGCAGAGCCTGCAACGAGAGTGCCAGAGCCAAATAGGTTGAGTCTGACTTTCTGAGAAGAGGAATTTGGAACTTTTAATTCAAGGCTTTCTCCCCATTCCCCCTCCTTCCTGGTCTGCATCAGGGTCTCCCCCTCCTGACGCTGGTGTGCCCATGTGAGCCTTCCCCTGCTCTCTCCCTCCACCCCTGCTGCTCTTTCTTACAAGAGAACCTGTGGAACGCAAGGTCCAAGCCAGTGCACCCACAGTGCCCACCTGACCACAAAGGCTGTGGATCTTCTGACAGCGTGTCCTACTGACCATTCAGATCGGCACCTTGACATATTCTCCAAGAGGCAGCTCACCATCAATCCCCTGGCACCTTCCCAGCTTCTCCCTATGCACTTCCTGACTCCACAGCATGGGTTTAGACAGCACCTTGTGCCTTCCGGTCTTTGCTTCATGCACCAGCCAATGGATCAACTTATTCATTTACTCCACATTTGTTTCTAAGCACTGGCCGTTGGGTGGATGCTGTCACGATTTACCTACATCTTTCTCCACCTGGACTACAAACTCACTTTAACAGAAATTAGTCTTTTATTTCTTCTAGATCTGTCACAGCACTCTCTAAAGTGTTATGCACAGAAAAACAATTTTCACTGTGGTAAAAACTTTTGTTGTCTATGTGGTTAATGAATTATACCCCAGACCAAGCAGAAGCCAGTCTTTGGAGAAAACGCTTGCCTAAAGTGGCATGACTTCTGGTTTCTAGAACAGTTCAACTATTCAAGCCAATCTCCCACAGACCATGGAATGCCACCATCAAGGTTAATTTCCTTGGAATCCATGTGGCTACTCCTGTAAGGGATTTTCTCTCTGATTTGGGATTTGGGAGTGAGGAGTGTTCCACCTGGGAATGAGCAGTGACGGGGCAAGCGAGGGGCACCACAGACAATTCTCTCATTTTCCTTTTTCTCCAAAGAACCAGGCTTGCAAATCCAGAGGTGGAGCACTTTTTGTTTTTCCTTTCTCTAGGGCAACTGTCCCCATCCCCTGAGCTGTGGCCTGTTAGGAACCGGGCCACACAGCAGTTTGTAAGGGGCAGATGAGTGAGTGAAGCTTCATCTGTATCTACAGCCACTCCCCAGCGTTAGCATCACTGCCTCAGCTCCACCTCAGATCATCGGGCATTAGATTCTCATAAGAGCACTGGTCCCTTGTGCCAAAAAGGTTGGGGACCACTGCTCTGGGTAATTCCACATCCTCTAAGCAACAATTATTGACTGGGGATATGTGTAAATTAATGAAACAATTAACATCAAATTTTATAAGAATTCTTCAAGACATTCCTGACTAGTATATAATACAAATGCTCCTTGACTTATGATGGAGTCATGTCCCAATAAACCCACTGTAAATTGAAAATATCCTAAGCTGAAAACGCCTTTAGTACACCTAACCTACTGAACATCACAGCTTAGCCTAGCTGATATAAAATGTGCTCAGAACACCATAGCCAAAAACACTGGAAATGCAATTCTCTGTAGAATATCAGTTGTTTACCCTTCGAATCACATGGCTGACTAGAAGCTGCGGCTCACTCCTGCTGCCCAGCATCATGAGAGAGTATTGTACCATATATCGCTAGCCTGGAAAAGGCCAATGTGTATCCCTTTTACACCACCGTAAAGTCGAAAAATTGTAAGTCAAACCATTATAAGTTGAGAACTGTATGTAGTATTGTTTTTTGCTTTTTTTTTTTTTTGCATAATTTATCAACTCATAATCCAACATGGGTGATGAGTAAGGGAGTCAGTCTTTCTAAGACTTAGACACTGACTCTTCTTCCTTGAGATGGAGATGAGGCAACCTCCCAACACTGGAACCAGCAGAGTAAGAATCAAGAACCCAGCAGACTCATTGAGGAGACCCTCTGATGACGACTCTTCTGCCTGAGTGCCTTACCCTGTCCTCTCTGCCCATGGAGCCCCATCCAAAGCCACTCTCAGAGCTCCAAGCCAAACACCTCTGCCCTGTGGGGAGCTCGTCCTATTCATCCCAATGGAAATTCATTATAGTCTCACTGGTACCACTTTTGTGGCTTTTATCACACATCGACTTGAATTGTAGTCATTTGGGTGGATCTCACCTCCCTTCCTAGATCTAGATGTCCACAGGTCAGAAAAGTAACTCTGATGATTTCATAGCCTACATATACAATCCTCAATTTTGTGCCTGATGTGTAATAAGTTCTCCATAAATATGTGTTGGCTAAATGATGACTAGAATGTTGAAATGTCCTCTTGGGCTCTTGATAATTCAAATGCACACCTGTCGTGCAGCTTGGAGGTAAAGGGTGAGCTGAGGTAATTGCTAAAGGTTGGTGGTGGCTCTGGGAATTTTGCTTGTAGGAGAAGTCATTTTGGTTTTAGGCACTAAAAACTTAAGTCCAAGTTAGGCTTTCCAGGTAAGATAGAGGACATCCAGTTAAATTTGAATTAAATAAATATCAAATAATTTTTAGTATAAGTATGTCCCGTGTAATATCCGGAATAGGCTTACATTAAAAAGTATTCATTGTTTATCTGAAATTCAAATTTAAATAGAAGTCCTGTGTTTTACTTTGCTTAATCTGGCAACCTTAGTCCAAATCAACAATGAAAGAGTGATTTTTTTTACCTTTGAAAACTAATAGGTATATTTTTCTCTAAGGTGTTATCTGCCTCATTAAGATTTAGGTGTTTAAGTAAAAAAGTTTACCAAATTAGAAATGAAACAAGGAGAGTGCATCTTTCTGCCTCCAGTCAAATAGAAGAGTGAGCAAAGGCCTCACCCATCATCAGGGGAGTGAGTGGCCCTCCACCTGTTGACCCAAACTTGCAGCTTGAGCTGGTGCCCCATCTCTCCTTCTACTGTAGGTAGAGGTTTTAGGACTCAAACCTTGGGCACATGGATGGAAATGGGAGGCAGGAGTGGGATGGGGGTGAAGGCTCAGCCTCTTCTTACTTCAGGCTCCTTCATCTTCAGAGCTCAAAGCCTGCTAATGCGCCATGTGTGTGTTTGGGCAGTGTGGGCCCGGCCTCAATGGCTGTGCCTGCGGGACCCAGCCAGGATGGGTATCCAATCCAGTTAACTCACTAAGCTCGCTCAGCAATTACCTGCCAGGGACACTCGCCCTCTCTGCAGTCCCTCCCACCCACTATCCGGATGAGGCTTGTCTCATCCTCTTCGGGGCTCGGCTCTGTGTTGTTAAAGTCAAGCAGGTGGAAAGGGTCCTTGGTGGGATGCAGGTCTTTAGGGTCGTACTGCTCCAGCATGTCAGTTTCAGGGGGATCCTTGCTGCTGTGGGAGGCCTGGGCCACTGACCTCTTCCTCCGTCCCAGAGTGAGTTTCCCACAGGGAAAAGGCTCTGAAAGAAAAACAACGACAACAACAAAAAAGGGCGTGGGCCTTCAGCAAAGTGGACATCGCCCTACACTGCGTGCGTAGTTCACTACGCAGCAGGAGGAGTCATGAGGCTGGAGGGAGGGTCCAGCCTTCGTGGTAATGGGGTGAGATGTCCTTGAAAATGCAGGTGGGGAAGACTGAGGAGTGTACGTGGTAACTGGGAAGGGGTGTGAGGAACTTTGGGGTGCAGCGTGCTCCAAGTCTTGGTAGGGGTTGGGTTATAAGGTGGATGCAGTTGTCACAATGCAGGGAATGTGTACTTCACATCGGTGCACCCCACTGTGTGTCAGTTTTATCTGAAAGACAGTGCCGTGGACTCTGACCTCTGGGGTTGACCAGAATGCTGAAGCATCGAGGGGGATGTCTGCAATCTACTTGGAAATGTGTCAAAATGATAAAGTGGCTTGCGGATGAACAGAGGATAGATGTGGAGTAGATAGGTATGGTGATGTGTTAATGGTAGAACCCAGGTGGGGGCATATGGGTGCTCACTGCCAAATCCTGTCAACCCTGCTGTGTGTTTGAAACATTTCTTAATGAAATGTTGAAAAAAATGTTTTGAGCAAGAGGGACAATATGTGCAAGTAATCTGAGGCATAAGAAGGAGCACCGGACATGGCTTTGAATGATAACGTCTAAAAAATGATAGCTATCCTTGAAACACCAAGCATAGGGGAGACGTCAGTAAAATACAAGAAAGCTTCCTTCCTGTGTTATCACAAACTAAGGAACTGAGGCAGAGCAAGGGGGCAAAGTAGGACAGAGGAAGGTAGTGGTGTGGAGGGCCGAAGAGATGAGAGACAGAAAAACAGCAGATCTGAGAATGGATGGCTTCTCTCTGCTGCCTTGTGTTTGTCTAACATCAGATAAGCAAAACTTAGTTCTTTTGACCGTTTGTGTGTGCTCCTGCAGGGCCTGAGGACCTGCCCCCACATACCACAGTAGACTGGTAAATGTATTAGCTGGTGATAAAGAGTTCTTCACCCTACAGTTTGCTAGTTTTGTGTTAATATCTGTAATCACTGTCCGTTGAAATTCTGAATTAGGAAGTAGTTTACCTGATTTTATTTTCAAACATCAAACTTTATTTTAAATTGATTCGTGATTATTCCTGGAAATAAAATAATTTGCCTGTATGTCATGAGTATACCTCCCATTTTTGAACCAGTTTAATTTTAGAATCTCCTTACTAATAGAAATGTAAATGACGTTGCCTTTTACTTGTTGGGAGAGTTGATGTTAGGTAATTACAGTCATCCTGGAATGCTTCCACCTCTGGGGGGCAGGCCTGGCAGTCTGCATTTCTGCCCCCTTCATTCCCTCCTGTGGTGCCAGAATTGTTGGTCAGTCAGCGGACCACCCATGCTTTGAGGAGCAAGTTGGGATCACTGTGAGAAGTATGTTAAGAGAAAGGAGTGGCCTCTCAGAACCTCTCGCCCGAGGTCAGCCTTGAAGCAGTGGGGGAACTTCCTACTGTGCTTGAGATCCAGGCTCTCTCACACCAGGGACCTGGCCTGTCACACTGCCCCTTTATAGGTCTTGCCCTCTGTGAGTTTCTAGGCCAGACTCTTTTTATTAAGGAAAAGAAAAAAAGAAACTTGATTAACATTAGGGCCCACATAACCTAAATCAGTTCTTGAGGCTCCTTGGTCTCCCTGCAGGCCAATCCAACCTCTCCCCAGCTTCACAGCTCCAACAGTCAGACCTGCACTGCCCCTCACTGGCCTGCAGGCTCACCTCAGTTCACTGGAGCTTCTGCTCCCGTCCTTCCCAGCGCAACAAAACACACCTTCTTCCACTGATTACATAGTTACTTAGGGTTTGCTATGAGCCAGGCACTGTGCAAAGGGCCCTCCATGAATTATCCCCTTACGTTTTCACATTCACTAAGCAGTTAGGTAATATCGTTGGTTCCATTTTTCAGATGGCTGACAGAAACAGAGGGTCTGTTTCCAAACCGCTTGGCCCACCCGGGATGCTCCAGCTGTCCCGCTCGCCAGCACTGGCACATGCCTTGCTGGTCTGGAGACGGCTGGCCTCTCTGGCTCAGGGAGCCCTGCTCGGGCGGCCTCATGCTTCTCCTACCTATAGAGATGCAGGACTTGCCATTGTCGTCCAGGATGTACCCACTGGCACAGGAACACACCACAGAGCTCTGCTCCTCGCTGCAGAACTGGTCACAGTCTCCATTGTCCAGGCTGCAGAATTTCCGTGTGGCTACGAGACAGGCATATTGGCTTTCAGGACTGACCGGGGAAACAGAGGCTGCAGATGGCTGGGAGGAAGGACAGCAGCACCAAGGGGACAACACCAACTAGTCAGGCCCACAGAGGATCATCGGACAAAAGCAAAGGGCCAGAGTCAGGCGGCCGATGCATATCAGCTGGTCCCAGTGCAAACAGGATGGGCTGCCCGGAGCAGGCTGGAGGGGTGTGGGGACCATGCTTCTCCACATGTTCTTCTCACTGCCCCAGTGCCTCCCCAGCTTGTATGGGGAAACCATGGTATCCACTCAGGGGAAGAGCTGAGTGTTTGCCAGGCTCTGGGCACTAGACTTCCAGAAGGTCCTTAAGTAACCTGAGCATGCCAGGTGCCATGCACTGGAGGCTGGGGGCAGGTTCTTAAGTTCAGCCCTAAAAAGGCCCATGGATGTTCACTAGAATGGATGAGCTGCCTGCAGGAGAGTGGGCTTTGGGGCCAGGTGCTCTGGAGGAGCCTGGCAGAGGGGCCAGAGGTCCACCCACTCTGAAGCTACAGGATTCCCTGTGGAATAAGGGCCCTAGGGTCTGGGGTCCGGGATTCAGTGCGGCAGGAAGGAAAAACAGATGGTGCACATCTTGAAGTCAGGCCAACCTGAGTTGCAGACTGGCCCTTCCATCACTTGCTGTGTATTTTGGGCAAGTTATTTAAACCCATAGGACTCAGTTTCCTCACTTGTAAAGTGGTGGAGTTCACGCTATCTCACAGGATAACCTCACAGGTCATATAAAACTCTTGGTGCAGTGCCCACATGGGGCCGTAGCTCCTTCAGTCAAGGCCAGGCTTTGGACCTCAAGGCCAGGCTAAGTGCATCCCCCACAGTCTGGCAGCTCTGACTAAGCCAGAATCACCCATTTGCTTCCACTGAACATCTAACTCTAAACTCGCATCAGTGATGCCATCTTGGCAATTTACTTTACACTCCGCATTTGGATTTTAATGAAAAAACAATTACATTGTAAAGACTAATATTAATGGAACTTTAGAAAACATTCACAATGGCCCTGGGGTCAGCCAAAAGGTATACAGGGGTGGCAGCTCTGGACTTGGGATGAATGATTTATAAAGGATATTCTCGTTAGGGAAAATTCCAAAGTAATCCAATTAAAGAGCACATTCTAAAGATTATATATTAAGCAATTTTTTAAAAAAGCAAATCTTTCTTTTTAGAGAAAACTGGTCTAATACTAACTTAATTTTTGTTAAAAAATTAACCATCATATTAGGAAAACTCTTCGTGACTTTTCCCTCCAGAATTAATTGAAGGTATCAAATTTTTATAATCGGACAATCCCGAACATTTAATATTGACGTTTGCACTAGCAAACGTAAGTGAAAGGTGGTGATTCAGAACCATTGCCCAGGACCACAAGAGATGTAAGTAGCAGCGATTATTCTACTCTAAGGAGAAGAAAGTCAGTTCTCATTTCTACGTTAATACATCACGTGCATCATTATTTTTCCATAGTCTCTCTCAGAGGAAGAGAAGTGACGGTGTATCTCATTGTACCCCAAAACTGAGTGGGATGTATGACACATTTGGGGCTTTTACTGTTGTGGTTTTTTTTGTTCGTTTTTTGTTTTTTGTTTTTGTTTTTGCTGTTACTACAATGGCACATTATCATGGAGCACAGAGTTTAAATGGGAAGTAACGTGAGATTCTTTCCTTGGGCATTTTAGCTTTTTCCCTCTTACCTATCTTTGATTCTTTAGGTAACTCAGGTTTGAAGGTATACTAAGAAGAAGAACTCACATAATTCACAGTTTTTGCCTTCGTAGCCTTCTGAACAGGTGCACGTGTATTCCCCAAGACCGTCTTTACACTCTCCCTGATTCTGGCAAGGATTGCTTTCACACTGGTCGCCATCTGCAAAGAAAAGATTTGGAAACCAAAGTTTGCGGGCAATTTCCATCATTTCCATAATGATGCTGCGTTGATCTTGGCACACATTTTTCAGATTACTTGAGTGAACTTGGAATTCTTCTAGTTTCTCTATAAAAAATTTCTCCTATCTGAACTTCCTCATCTTTTGTGGCTATGTGTACATGATGCCCTTATCTAACTGGATCATTGACTGAACTTTCCAATTTTTGCTGACATGTTTGACAGTGTTTTTGCATTACAGTGAGGAGCTCTGGGCTGTTGACCACATGGGACCACTTGGAAGGATGGAAGATAGGTGATTGACACTCATTTCTGGGCTGAGCATTGACAAGAGGGATGTTCAGGTTCCTCTTTCGAAATGCTCTGGGGGTAAAATGAGAATGCAGAGACTGCTTTCCAGCACTAACATGGACTTCACATTTCTCGGTGCATTTGTGCAACCTAATTTGGAGATGAGTCCAATTATCATTTTGAGAAATTTGAATACTGTTACCAGAATGAAAACATGCCATTTGATTATATACCAATGGTTAATACCAATGAAAACATACCAATGGTTGATACCATTTCGGATGCTATAAACATTAATGCAAGGTGGATACCTTATTAGAGAAGCCAATCTTTTTGTTTCTAACTAACCTACTTGGATTTAAAATATTATCAACAAATTTGGTATCCTCAAATGAGAATGAACTGATTTAAATCTATATTTAATAACAAAACCAAAATTAGTATAAAGTTATAAAAATATTTTATAATAACTGTTATGAAAACATTAAGAGGAGAAAAGTATTAAATAAGTAAGATCCGAACAGGAACAGAAAGGAAATTCAGAAAGCCATTTTCAAAATTCTAATACAATCTCTTCCAATTTAAATAGCCTAATGAAACTCTTCCGCTTAAGATTAAAATAGAAAACATCTCACCTTTGTATTTATTCCAGAATTCATTCTAAAAGGAGGAAAAGATTTTAAAAATGCATTAGGGAAAACACAGACATTTATACCAAAAACAACCGTAACCTAGTAACTCAACCTGAGGAGCATACTTTCCCAAACAGAGTTCATTTTCTGAAACAAATTGCTCTAGAACTTATTCGATCTAAAAGGGAAAGTTTTTCAGATTTTCTGCATTTATACAGATGTGGTTTCACTCCTCTCAAATGCACCATCTCCGTTGCCTATTGAAAATTTGTTTTAAACCTAAGGAGCATACTTTCCCAGAGTTCATTTTCTGAAACAAATTGTTCTAGAGCTTATTCGATCTAAAAGGAAAAGTTTTTCAGATTTTCTGCACTTATACAGATGTGGTTTCAATCCTCTCAAATACACCATCTCCGTTGCCTATTGAAAATTTGTTTTAAAGTTAATCACCAAGAAATGAATTGCGCTAAAAATAGTTTGCTGTGTTTGCTACCCCAAGCTGATCAATGAATGGTTTTTCGTTGAGATACCTGGGACAAAGATTTGAAAAAAGATTGAATGCTTGGTGAATAATCTCATTATAATAATTTTAAAATGGTAATTGGTAATTAGCTTAAAATAGGGCATCGAGAACCCATATTACACTAAAAAAAGTGTTCATAGCCTTAAAAATATTTTGCTGTCTCCAGTAGGTTGACTAGTGTTCCCCCTGCCCCCACCCCACCAAATTCAGCTGCAATCTCAAAATATGACCTTAATTATAAATAGGGTCTTTGCAGATGTAATTAAGATATCGATCGAGATGAGATCACACTGGATTAGAGTAGACCCTAAATCAATGAGAGTGTCGTTATTAGAGACAGAAAAGGATGCAGAGAGACACACAGAGAGAAGACCATGTGAAGATGGAAGCAGAGATTGGAGTGATGCATCTACAAGCCAAGGAATGCCAAGGATTGCTGGCAGCCCCCGGAGGCTAGCAGAACGGCATGGGACATAGTCTTCCTCAGATCTTCCAGAAGAAATCAACCCCGGTGACACCTTGATGTCAAAATTGTGGTCTCCAGAACTGTGAAAGAATAAATTTCTGTTATTTTAAAATACATGGTTTGTGATTTTATTTTACTTTTTTTTTTTGTCTTAAGGTGGAAGTTTTGATTATCAATTTAAGACCTTTCTTTCCAATGAAAACATTTAATGCTATAATTTTCCCTGTAAGCACTATTTTAGCTCCATCCCATAGATTTTATGTTGCATATTCATTTTTTGTTCAGTTGAAAAAATTTCTAACTTCCCTTGAGACTTCCTCTTTGGCCCACAGATTATTTAGAAGTGTGTTGTTTAATTTCCATGTACTTGAAAATTTTCCTGTTATTGATTTTTGGTTAATTTCATTAAGGTTGGATAAAATATTTTATATGATCTCCATCTTTTAAATTTGTTAAGGTGTGTTTTATAACACAGGATATGGTCTATCTTGTGGAAAATTTTGTAAATGCTTGGAAAGAAAGTGTATTCTGATGTTGTTAAGAATCCTATAAAAATCAATAAGATTCAGGTCAAGTGCTGTCTAGAGAACTGGAGGAAAAAAAATGGTAAACACAATTCTGTGGTACTTTGATTTCTAGTCTTCTTCAACCATTACTGCTATTTACTTTTCAGGGTCCTCAGATGGCTGCTCCATGCATTCTATACAGGATTTGTAGCTGCATTCAGTGGGAGAGATAGGGTGAAGTGTGCTTTCTCCATATTACTCGGAACTAGAACTTGCTGATAACCTTTGATCCAGCAATCCTTCTCTGGAACACCTATTCTTAGAAGATAATCCGGAAGAAATATATGTGTTTACATAAAAGCAATATAAAATAGCTTACATGGTCAAAACATAAAAGAGTAAATGTGTCCATACAATAAAATATAATTTAACTCTTTAAAATTCTAAGTGTGATGGCTATATAGAAGTAAAGAAGAGTGTTTGGGAAATAATGCTGAGGAAAAAGGTAGAACATGAACTTGGATTGGCATTACGATTATTTTTATTATTATTATTTTTTACTATATAAATTTATTTATTTGAATTAGTTTCAAGTATACAGTACATTGGTTAGACATCTATAATGTTCATAAAACCATCCTCCCAATTGCTCCCTCCCTCTCCTGGCCCTCCACTTAACCATCATATTAATGCTGACTGCATTCCCTATGCCGTGCTCCCCATCCCCGTGATCAACTATCAACT